CCCCCCCCCCCCCTCTCTCACTGACGCCTGTAAATCACTTAAGGACCCACCAACATGGGGACATCAGCCCTCATGCTGTTGCTCTGACAACTGAAACAGAGCCCATGGGTCGATGTGCCACGGTGATGTGAATAAAGCATGATCAGCAGTAAACAAGGTCTGTCCATTAACCAGACCCTCCTGCTCACAGGGTGAAAAACGTATGTGGCACATGGGGGAGCACATGTGTGACACACATCATTCTCAGAGGAGATAAACATGTCTTGACAGAGTTCACCTTCATGCACATGCCTCTCTGTAAATCTACTCAGAGTTTGAACCACAACATACAGTATGCATCACTGACTCCAGCAAGGAAAGCAGTCTGTCTGTGCCATCCAATAGCAATAACTTATTCCAAACATGATAATGTTATTTTTGGATAACTTTTCTGCTGCTGCGTTTACTGTGAAATACATGTCTAGGTGGCATATGACATTAATTTGATTTGTTCACCCCCTTTTAGACACAATTACATTATAGGCGGCAAACACGAAAAGTAAGGGGCATAACTCATTTATCAGAATTTCACAAGAGGAGGGGCCAGATGTAATAATATTTTTTTAGATCTGACCCAAAGTGACAGTCAGAATTCTGAGAAGTCAGAAAAATGTATTAAACAAATCGGATTTCTGATGAAAGAGTAAGAATTCTGACATTTCCTAGGAACTTAAACAAAAAAAATCTCTTAACACGTGGCCTTAATCCTCATCCGTATTTATTTGAGTCATATATGTTCTAAAATTAGCACTGATATTTTGTATGTGAAATATGGGAGAGTGCCACATTTTTGCAGACCTGTCCTTTAGTGGAGCTTTGATATGCAACCACAATCTTGACTGCAAGTAAGGGATGGAGGGCTCAACCATCCTTGTAAATAAGTAAAATGTTTTTAATAGCTTTACCCACAACTGTAATTAAAGCTGTCAGGTGCACAGAAACTTCAGATGAAAATCACCTTGAGCTACCCTCGGAGCATTTACATTTAGAAATAATATACATTTTAAAATGCCATTATTTATTAATGTGCACTGTTGAATTGACAAACAAACGATCCACCACTGTTCCTGAAGTGTAAAGTGAAAACTCAATTTGCATCTTTATTGCTACTCAGAGGGTGATGTATACGATGTTAACCTGCCCGGTTCCTCTGACCTCACGACGAGAACCCGGCCTGTGTCTGCGGGACTTTCATCAGCGAGGGGAATAGTACTCTGAGAAGGGCTTTTTATAATCTTAACGATGTTTCTCTTTGTTTATTATTTTCCTGCCCTCGGTTAAATCACCCACGCTGTTTTTCTTTTAGAGAGAAGTCAGGAAGGTGCACTGTTGCATTAGCTCAGACTTCAGAGACGCTGTGTTGTGAGTGACATTTGCAAAACAGCCCGCAAAATTACCAAGCAGCAAGGTTAACCGTGGATAAGGATTTCATAGAGGTTGCCTCCAGTAAAAAAGAGAAAATATGAATTTCCTCACCATGGGATGCTGCTATTTGACACAGTTGTGGTTAAAGAAAATGCCACTAACAATACTAAATTGCTTATTTAACCCGAAAACCTTTTTTTAAATGAAATATAACACTGCCAAAAACACAGATATTACAACTCTATAAAAATACACATGCATCAGGTCAATTAGGATACCAGATACAAAGAAAATATATACAGTAAGGACACACCTGGGGAAGCCGTCTCACTCCAGACTAAATCACTGACTCATGTAACACTGACTTATTTGAAGTCCTTGGGGGAAGCCGGTGGAATATATTTCAGAGACAAAATCGCAAATCAATACATTTCACATTTTATTATCTACTCAGGTCACCAAGAAAAGGGAACATACATTTTAACCAAGAGCTGTGCCAATCAAAGTTATAACTCATTTTAATGCTGACTTAAAAAGCTCAAAAGAAATTAAGATAATAGCCTGGCAAGATTCATGCCAATTTCAGGAATTATAAAGATGAAGCCAAAAGCAAACATTACTGAAACATGTCCAGAAGCATTTTGTGGACATCTTAATCAACTTTTGATTGTATTCTATTCTATTGCCTCATATATAATGCTGTGGCCACATCAAAGTCAAACTTTGGCTACAGCAAGGGGTATTCCTTCTTTTCCATTTGCTGAGGAAGAGAAGTGGCAAACCTCATCAGCATTACATCCGTCAGGAGCATTTACTGTAAGTGCACTTCATTTTGTTAGCTAATAGGAATAGCTTAACACATTGATAAGGCTGCAGAACAGATGGACAACCTTGGATGAGGCAGTCAACGGTGGAGCTCAAAAGTAGAGCAACAAAGATGCAAAAATGAGGAAAGTCGTATAAGAATATTTAAAGTTTCTCACCATCGTCTGATTCCTCGGTGACCGGAGCCTTGCTGGACTGTCCGAGCCCCATGGCTGCTCTTCTTACAGATTCTCCTGTTCTGCTCCCTTAGCTCAACTCAGCATCGAACGGCCTCTCCCTCTGAGACGCACTCATTGCCTGGTCAACAGTAGCCCCTCACACACACACTCACACACACAAACAATCACACAGAGTCACGTGCATGGACTGCTCAGCCCGGACACAAACTAGCAGACTTTGCTGACTTTAACAGGTCCTGTCTTCTTAACTCTCCACCTTGACACACACACACCTCATTGCACACACACAGTGGAGGGCTTGAGGGAACACTAGAGGCACTGAAGCGCTGACACACACACTCACACGCAGTTCCACTACTGTGTAAGTTTCCCGTCTGTCCTCACTGCAGTTCAGATGGATGCAGGCAGAAGGAGGACCCTCGCCAGGCAGGAGGTGGGGGGGTGATGTGTTTGTGGCTTTGACCCTCTGATGAGTGAGAGTCTAACCTGTGAGGGGAGGCAGGAAAACATGACACCATCGGCAGGGTGAAGGCGGGAGGGAGGAGGGAAGGGAGGGAGGGAGGACAAGTGGAAAGGTAGAGCCTCTGAGACATTAATGATAAATGGAAAGACTGACACATTCTGTTTAATTAAGATACAAAAAGAAAAAACACATGCTTACCAACTTAAAATACCATAGTAGTATTAATTAATGCGAAGGACTTGATTATAAATCAACTTGATTAGCAAAGAGGAGGGGAAATTACCCTCATTTCTATTTGTACAGGTCCCCTTCCTTTCCTTCCTTCTTTACTTCATCTGTCATTTATCAATTATTATGTTTTCATATCTTTATCATAATCCCATCCCAGTGGAGCACCTTCTGCAGTGCATGTGTGATGAATGGCATGAACGGTTTTCCCATTAGGGGAACAAAAATGGGAGGCTTTTTGATTTATAGTTTGCTGGCTTTGTCTACTGTAAATGGGATCCCTCAGGCTGCCCTCTTCAGGACGTGAGATTATAATAGTTACTACCTTTGTTAGAGACAAACAACTGGAACTCTGCTGCCTCATGAATCCATTACAAAAAAATACAAAACGTAAAATTAATCAGAATATAAGAATTCAGGCTGCCAAGTTTTGTTTTTTTTTTCAATATCTTATGACAATATGTATAGCTTTGGTTTGTAATGGTATCATTTTAAACTGGATGACATAATATCTAACAGGAGAATGACTGACTGACCTGAGTAACTGAGATGCATTTGAGGGTTAAAAAGACAAACTTCAAGTCATCGTTGCAACAATCAATCCGCAAGGGAAAACCCTTCCATGTTTGCCTTTCCTAGACTATATGATAAGGTCATTCACCACAGTAATATCTGAGAATCGATTTTGGGTTAAATTCAATATTCAAAAAGTAGTGCGTGGAGACGCAGTGCTGAGCTCCCTGCAGAGGACATTGTGCTCGGAGCCTCTGTTATCTGATCAAATGGGACAAACACGCATTGACTAGAAAGTATCCCACCTTGCTTGCATGTATGCAGGGGGGCAGCTGTAGGTACCTACCTCTGAATGCCACCGGAGAGTTGAGCTTGGCACCATTTCCCTATCCGCTTTGCTGCAGAGATGCGAGGCGACAGCGCAGCAACAGTGCAGCTCAGAGCATCACTTGTCCGGTTTGAGGACGACTACGCACCGGGACACCTGCCACCTGAAAAATGAAAACCACACAGCGAGACGTGACTTGCGGGATTACACCGATGGAGTGCGATGAGAAATCCCGTTAGTTTTCTGGACGACGAGCAGAGATAGGGGTTTAAGGGGAGAAACTGCTCGGCACTGATGAGCGACTGACCTCCACATCGCCGCCTGTGTAATGCGCTGCTGGCCAGCACCGTGCGTCTGGAGAGGCACGTTTCACGGGCTGGTCAGGCTGCTCTGCTGTGGGACTGGGGGTTCCCATGTCGTTATTATACACTTAGCTAAACAATGGTATTTTGTGATGCATTTCTACAAAGATTCCACATATATTACACCTTATTGTTTATAACTTGAATATTTTGGAAATATTACAAGTAGACGAGTGTTCCTGTCATAGTTAAAGTTCACTTTAAGGGCCCAAGAGTCACTAAAAATACCCTGTAGTGATTTTTTCTTGCTTACATTATAGCCCCAAATGAGGGTTGAGTGACATAATCAGATAATGTATGCACTTTTAGCTTAAAAAAAGTCTATGCCTGTTACTTTAAAATGTGCATTGCCTCAAAAATACTCCACTTTATTTCTGCAGGCAGTTATTTCCTCTCATGGTGCCAGCATGGATCAGAGGTCAAGATCAGCTTTAGCACAGCACCCCCTACAGCTGATACTGCTTTGCCACTCTGCTCGAAGGCTTTTCAGTCAGGCACATTGTCGACCATGCTGTTTCAACCTCGTGCCCCTCCCCCCAGGGGAGGGGCAGCCTCTTTATACACGAGCTGAGCCTGCTGTCTCATAAAAGCCTTAAAACTTATATGGAAATAGTAATTATACTGGGAGAACATTGGATAATGTCTTTATGGTGTTCCATAATTAATCTTTTCTGACCTTATGTGCTTTATGGTATTTCTTTTTTATAGTCTCCTTAGGCAATAATGCAATATCCATTTAAGATGCTCTGTATAGCTTGTAAGCACAGAGTAGGCTACGTTGGGCCTACATTACTTATTATTTCATAAAATGTAGGATTATATCATTATGACCTATTATTTTGAAAATATGTTATCGAGATAGAGTTCTGCAACTAAACGGATGTATTAAACCTCAGTTATAAGATTATCTCCCTATGATCCTACATTTTCAAATACAGAGGAAAATATTTAAAAAAAACATGTGAGTCACCTGATATATGCAATGAATATCTATGGTCTTAAAAACCATAATATGGATTTGCCGCATTGGATTTTTTTGTCATTAGGGACAGATTCCTGTAGTCCAATCTCTAATAATTCATTACCTTCCATGGCCATTAACTACTAACTGTAAAACACATCCTTCCATTACAAGGACTGTCACCCGTGTCCCCTGTTAATTGAGTAGGCCAAGGTCGAGAGGAGAACGACTGAGTGGTGGGACTGTGGGACCAGAGATATGCTTACAGCTCACGCTGCACTTTTTCTTCCTCTTAACGCCTCTCCGTCATGCCAGGGCACACTCGTTGTGGGCCATCCATCTTCATACGGAGGAAGGGGACAGACCTCAAACTATCAACACAGGCTGTGAGAGGTGACGAGCATCACTCATCTCCCGTATTGTGCGTTTGGCGGCATAAGGGGGTGTACTCCTCTTTTAGATGAGATGAGTGATGCCAGTGTCATATCACACCTGGAGAGAAACACAGTACAGACACTTAACTTACGGCAGGCCCAGCGTGTGCCAATGTTGTCCTAGTTGTGTAATTGAGGATATTATTTTGCTTGTAAAAAGAAAAGACGCTTCTTTGCTGAATTTCAACATGACACTTAAGCATGCTGGACTTAAAGACTGCTCATGAAGATGTAAGGTGTTTAACTCTGTGAAATTAGCCCCATCTAGTGAGAAAAAAAAGACATAACAGGATATGATAGCATCTGGTGTTTATACAGGTAATAAAGGAACATATTTAACAGCATAAATCACTGCCATGATCAATATTACAGTCGGGGTCTCAACACCACACTCCCCTAGCCAATGCAGAGATGATAGATTATGGAACACGTGTATCAGGGTACAGGCTATTAAAGCTGTTCTTTTTCTATATTAAGGTCGAACATTTGAATGATCTGGTCCCTTTTCCGCCTCAGGGCTGTCTGGGTCCTTCCTGGCTTGGCAGTTTGGGTAATATGACACATTTAGTTAAAATGTGAAAACTCAATATGCCTCAAATGTAAATGCAAACAGCAGCAAATACTGTAACATGTCAAAGATAATGTACACTTAAAACATGCAGCAATTTCATTTTAAATTTATTTTTTATTTAGAGATGTATCTAGACTCTAGAGACTGGTAAGCTACAGTCACTGTCATGTTTTTTTTTTATAATTGTGGCACAAATACTAAGATATAAAATATATTACACCTAATATTGACTAGTGGAAAGTAACAAAGAGCATTTACTATTCTTAACTATAATCTGAAATTATTGTATTTTTACACAGTCAAATGTATTAAGTTGAGAAATTTTAACTTTTCCGATGAAAAATGATAATATAAAATGTATTTAACACATAAATGCAATTTTTTGACTTTTTTGCATTGATCATTTTGGGAAAATGTACAAACTACTCAGCTGTCTATAAATAATGTAATATTAGGCCCACGTTCACCAAGTATACAATTTCACATGTGAAGTAAAAGCATGACTTGGAGCATTTATTTCTACACTGTGGTGTTGATACTCTTACTAAAGTAAATTAGAATTTGACTTCTTAATCAACAACTTATAAGAAATACCATGCCGAATATCCCTTCATATCTGAGATTATTATGAATTCATGTCTTTCCAGTATAGAGATCTTTGACGAAAATGTACAGCTCACACTTCTCTCCAGCCTTTTTTGCTTTCTCCGTCCGTCTCATCGTACACAATGGGTTGTCTCCTGTCAATCCCCTGCAGTTGCATAATTGTTTTGGAGTAAACAGAGGGTGTGTTGAAATCTGTCTACATGCATACGTGGCTGCGTGTGTGCATCAGTTCACAAACAAACATAGTTTCAGTTAGTGAAGAAGGTGTCAGGGAGTCATGGCGATCTTTAAACACCTGTTTCTTGTTTTGTCTCTGGTGCCTCTGGTACTGAGCTACCCTTTCTCCCCCCCCACATGCTACAGCAAGGTGCTGAGCATGGCGCGAGATCTCACCCAGAGGGCTGCAGATCTGAAGAGGGGCCATGAAACTGTAAGTCAGCTGCAGCATGTTTGCTCTATATCGATTACATTGTACACTAAAGTTTGGTTTAGCATATATTCTTAAATTGTTTTGTGTAAAAGATTTCTGTGATGTTTTCAGTATCTAGTGCTTTTTTATTTATTGTACTTTGGACAAATAGTCATAGTATTCCTTCATTTATTTGCTGGATACAAAAATGTGTCAATGTAGTTTAATCCAATCTAATCAAAACAATAGTGAGCTTGCAATTTTTAGACACATTTCAGTTGGGTTTGTTTTGGCAACTGTGATTTCTAAGATAAGGGATAGGTTTAAAGAACTATATAATATTATCCTGTCAATGCTGAATTCTTGAATTGTATATGTATTATGTTTTCCTTGCATCCAGAGTTACTGCATGGCACACATGCCAGATCTCTACCTTGATGTCCATGTAAGTATGATTTTAAATTCACCATGATTGTCACACGTGTTGATGATGCTAGATTGCATTTGTTATTTTACATGATTGGCATGTATAAATGTACTTATTTCAAGGTAAAACAAAAAGCCCTTAAATAAAAAAAAATCGTTTTCTTATCTTCTACTTTTAGTTGTTGTTCATCCATCACTTTTTGTTTTGAGTAGTATCACTGTCCAAAATGTTTCCACACTAACAGCTGTGGTATTTTGTCTGAAAACCTAAGCTGTAAATCACGCACTGAGACACTAATTGCTACTCATGCTGAATGCAGAATGCCTGTGTGATGCACAAAATGAGGACCTACATCTCCCTGGTGGAAGGCCTGCGAGAGCGCCGCTGCGCTTACACCAGAGAAGTGATGAAGCTGGGGTACACTCTCAGACAGCTCTTCATCTTCATGTCGGAGAAATGTCACGGGGTAAGATGCGACAAATGGTCCAAATAGATTCAAAACAATGAGGCTCAAATAGCACTATATTATATGGGGACACAAAGTAAAACATCTTGCAGAATATAAAAAGATGTATACTTTGCCATTGGGGCTGTAGCATGAGCATTCAGTGACTGTAGATGTAACAGGGCTCAAATGAATCGCACTGACGTCTAACATATAAAGATACATTTATGCAAACATTAAATAAGATTGCAGACAAATTATTATTTTTACATTATACTTTTAATGGACCTCAACATTTCATTTCATTTCAAACCTTTATTTAGACAGATTGGTCCCTTCAGATCATCGATCTCATTTACAAGGGAGACCTGCAACATGTGCCTTTTCTGTTGATAGAGGAGGTTTTTGAGTAGTAATTGTTTATATTGTATTGTTAGTAGAAGTTGTGCTGTTTATCTTAAAATAAGGTGACTCCCAATCTTAACAACATAGGTACACAGGATTTACAGTAATAGGTATTTATATAAAATCATTTATTAAATGCCCAATTGTTGTTCCTGTATTCCCAATACTCTACAGTAGTTATATTTTGTTTTTGGAACATTATACTTAGAAAAAAATAAATAATTGTACGGCTTATCCTTTATCTACTGCATTTACACTGAGCCAAAGTCTGCACCACTGCAGCACAACATAAAACAGAAAAGGAAAAACATTTAATGGGTCACTCAGTGGGTCATATCACGGGATTAAACAGGGTTTATGGAACAAATTGATTGATTGATTGATTGATTGATTGATTGATTGATACATTCAAGCCTTCTCTGCTGAACTGTGGAGACAACTCGTGTTGGTTTGTGGTTATTTTTTTATTAACAGCTTTATATCACTTTCACTATGGTCATTTCAGCAAGCTTAATTACCAGAAAAAGGTTGACCTATAATTAATGTCAACAATAGCCTGAAATCACAGTGTGTGGGTGTAAGTATACACACGCATATTGGTGATTTTCTGTTTACTAGAATGTTTAATTTCAGATAACAATGCATTCAACTTGAATTGCATTTGAAATTGAGCTACTGCCAACAATAGAAACTTTGCATTAAAATATCTAAATCAATTGCACT